TACACAAAACAATAAGTAAAATGCGCGCGCAAGAACAGAAATATGTAATTACGAACGCAAAAAGAAATCACTAAATGGGAACGCCGCACTAACTATGGGTGTAGGATTTCTTTGAAAAAAAGGGGTGGTGCGCAGAAATAAGGAGCCTTAACATTCTTGCTGTTTGGAACGAGCACCTAAATGTTTTTTTTTTCTGCTGCAAAAACTGAGGTACTTTTCAATTCTTGATGTTTTAGAATTCCGTTCATCTTGTTTCGCAGCCCATAGGTCTTGTCTCTCCCTCTGCAAGGGGCATATTGGGGCCCGATATAGTCTATAGTGGCCTTTGAAATGAGTCTGAAACAGGCATATTAATTCCCTCACCTGATATTACTGCATATGACACTGTCAGTGGATCGAAGCGGTGGATGAAGAGTTCCTTCACGCAAATGCGAAAACCCGAATGGGTGATAAACTGGGAAAGAAAGATAGGAAGCTTTAAAAGTCGTAGCGATATGCAAGGTTTGTCTCTTAGGAAGCACTGTCCCACTCCTGTGAAATTATGTGGCCAATCTCTCGTAGATTACCCATCATCGTAGAATACTTCAGCTTCGCACGTGTTCTCTTCCAGGCCGATAGCGTACAATGTTAAACGAGCACAATGATATTTCAAATAACACACCAGAAATAAATGGAGACAAGACGATTGCAGTGAAAACTGATACGAAACGTTAAGGGGCAGCATGGAGCATGAAAAATCACGGAGTAAAATTTCACATAGCCACACAACAAATATTTGACACACGAAAAAGCACTACACGATATGACACCGGACAAGAACTCACTCTTCGCGCTCAAAAGTAAAGTGTAGAATAAAGTGCTGGAAGAAATTTTAGAAGAAGGCAATGACAAGGTTTTGGCTTAAATTCCACAAATTCCTTGTGCCTTATACTATAACATGCGACTGGTCTTGTTTTGATACTCCATCGTGACAATGAACTCAAAATTAGGTTTTTCTTTTTGGCTAATCATTTCATATTCGAAAATGCTGACGATGGACCGATGTAACATCAAGGTTTTGTCAACACTTGATTTATTCTCTTTGAAAAGAAAACGTAGCAGAAAAGAAACATGAGGGAAGTTTTTACTGCTTATCAGTCACTGTAACCCTCTGGCATGGATTACCTCAATCCAGCTTGCAATTCCGTTACATTCTGTGGCTGCATTTTTTCCCTTGGTTGAATGTTTGGCTGTTAACAACACTGTTGGTGTTTTTCTGTAGCTCCACTTGAAACTCACATCCTTCATGTAAGAATGAAACAATTCATCATATGTGTAAATCATAGCAATGTGATGATAAGACATTTGCACTATCAAATCATTAGACGTATAGTTATGGGGTGGATTGAAATATTCGAGCACTTTTCACAAACGTTAAAACTACATAAAATGTTCCTTGTTTGTTGGAAAAACACCTTCCAGTTTTACAAATGTAACCCCACGGTTAGACTCTACAGGGAAATTTATGTACCACACCAGTTTTGAAATCTTCGTTGGGTCAAACTTTGGTGGAGGAAAATCTAGTTGCAAGGCGTTATAAAGTTAGTACCCGACACCATTCATTCTATCTTTTGCTGCATGAAATTGCGGTTCTCAATCACGCAGTCTAATGCTTACCTTACAGAACGCAAAGTTGTCGCTCTCGGAAGGCAAACCGTCATTCTGAAAATTCACTTCACTGTGTTCTGAAAACCATGGTCTATGGAGGGATTCAAATGCCATCCAATTCTAAAAGAAAATTTACAG